AGAGCTCAAAACATCAAAATAAGAAGATACCATAAATCAAAAAAAGGTTTACTGTTATTTAGTTTGTTTCAAAACCTACAAAATCTTCATTGCTTTCACTGTAATTTATTATTATTTAGGGAGCATTATAAATAGTTATGTGTTTAAAAGTAAACAAAACTACTATTGTTATAAGTAACACATTCAATTGAACTAAACTATGCATGCCTATTTAAATATATTTACACATGGCTTGTGTATATTGTATATATATACATATATATTATTCATACCTTCGGTGTATAGGACACAAGCAGATTTTGACATCATATTTTGGGGTAAAAAAGTGCATCTTATACACCAAAAAATATGGTATGTCTTTATACAAACCATTAGTTATGTATTGCTTGAAATATTGTGAACAGTTTGGTCTCCTTATCTAATAAAATACTGACTGATTAGAAAGGGTTTAAAGGAGGGCTATTAGGATGATTCTGGGGATGGAAGGGTTGTCTTATTGGGATAGATTTAGACCTTTTAACTTATTTTCTTTTTAGAAAAGAAGAATAAGAGATGATTTTATTGAAGCTTACAAGATTATTCAGGGAGGGTTAATAAAAAAGGACTTTCATTTCTTTGTGCTGAATTCTGAAGCCAATAGGAAAAGGCAGGTTAGGTTTCAGTTAAGATTAGGTTTTTCTAACAGGATGATTAGCTTATGGAATAAGTTGCCATCAACAGTAATGGAGGCTGGTGACTTACGTGTACAATGATTCCCTGAAAAGTAAAGGATAGGCTTAATTTTTGTTTACTGTTTCTTGAGTATAGTTAAGAATTTTCTTATAAAAATAATTGCCTGGCTCTCTTCTCATTGATGGCATTACTTATTACAGCATCAAGAAAGCTTAAAATACCATTTTCTTCCATGACCTCGAATATATTATTATAGGTGTATTCACTCGTATGTCTTTTGTGGCTATGCTGACAATCTTGTAAACAGCTGATATTAGTGTAGTAATTACAAAATTAACAACTGGTTAATTTCATAGGTTACTTCAACCATTACACTGGCTATTTAACTTTTACCTTTCAACATAACCATCACTTTATTATTCTGGTGTTGAAAACAGATATTTAGTTGGGAATTGTATAATAGTCTGTCAGTTGTGTTCATGTGGCTCTTTCCAGCAACTCCCTAGCATGATTATTATTGCTCTTTTGTCATGGGGTCAATAATCCTTCCCATGTTTGACTGTGAACAACATGAAAGTTGATGAGTTGGGATACTTGGTAATGGTAGAGCAAATGTGATGGTCTTGAGACATTAGTATCTTCTAATGTTTTCTATCTAATGCCACTACATCTTCAGATAGGCTGTTTCATCTTCATTTTCACTAACACTTGACCCTTGCAAAACTTCATTAGGGTTTTTCTTGTGACTGATCACTTATTTTGGTAGGATTGTGGGATAAATATTCCATCAATACTTACAAATGAAATTCCTGAATTTTGTTTTGGTTTCTTATAGCTAGGAAATGCCTCCTAATGCTATCTTTGTTTTTACATATTCTTCATGAATAACTTATATTATGCTTTACAGCCATTTAAATGTCTAAGCTCACAAATTGTGCCCTGATTGCACTTTTTTTTTCATGTATGGAAATACAACAATGCTGTCAGATTTAAACACAGAAATGATCTAGGATATCCTCAGCTGTTCTCTGTTGCTTAAATATTAGTGCCATCTAGTGAATTTGCTGAAAACTATGACAAAAGCAGATCAAACTTACATTAATAGATAAACTAGTGATTGTTCACACAACTGTTGATATTAGCTATTATTGACTGCAGTCCTAGTATGTGGTATGTTATGTCCAAAACTATTTCACAGATTAATTCCTAACTAGACATCTCTTTTTATGAATCACTGTGCTTAAAATAAAAATAAGAATAATAATGAAAACTTTAATATTATTGGTAAGTTTCTTTTTTTGTCAATATTATTTACATCACAAACTACTGGTAGCACAATTAAAATTCAGAAACTTAATGAATTTAACTTAATTTGTTATGGTAAGCACTACAGAGGCACATTTCTCCCAAAATTTTGAATACTATTCACAGAATACAAAATGTAGATATAAGTTATTTCTTTAATACTTTTTTATGCCAAGTTAATAATGTTTTGCTCTCAATGACCATTTCTATTGAGTCCTTACAACTCTAGAGCCATGTGTATTGAAAGTATGTTGTTTCATTATTTCCATCGTATATGTATATTTTATTAGTCTTCAACAAATAACTGTTGTACTGCTTTTTAATTTCTTTGTTCAGTTGATTTTCCTATATATATCTTTGTGAATTTTTAGATTATGAGGGAAGGATTGACCATGTATGTTGGAGATTTATACAATATTAGAATAGACTATTATTTTCAGCATTTTTATAATTAGAAAATTAATATTTTGATCTTCCTTTTCTGCTTCCATTGAGTTTATACTTATTTTAAACCAGTTTCTTGTAATTTTAAAGTAATGTTGTCTATTTACGGGAATCTGTCCTTTGTTGCATTGTATTAATATAGATTATTCTTTATTTATATTCTTAAAAATACATACCATAAGATATGCTGTTACTTAGCTTATCTTAAATATTAATTTAATGAATATTTATGTTAAAAAAACCCATAAAATAACAAACCATATAACCCAAATTCTTTTGAAAGGTAGACCTTGTTTTTATCTTTGAATGTAATGAATATATTGTTCATTAATATGAAATAATTCTTCATATATCTCTGTGGGAGCTTTACCAACTCTGAAAACTGATATTGTTATTGAATGATCATCACACAGCTTCTATTCCTGTTGGAAGATAAGCAAGCAATACAAGAATCAAAAACAAAATAATCAGAAGACATCAGAAATGTGTCATTTAATAAGCTTAAAATTAAAAAGACTTTTTTTTAGATACACTTTATTCTGTTTATAGTTTTTATTGAAATGGCCTTTTATTATATCAAAAGCAACTCCTGTACTCTGATAGTTTACTTACATTTTAGGTTGAAAGAAAGATATAGGTTTCAACGTATTTCATAGCTACATCTCATAATATTAAAGTGTAGTTATTTGAAAGAGAATTACTATTTGTTAAAAAACTGACAGATTGACTTTAGTGACCAATACTGCCTGACTTCAAAATATTAATGCTATCTTTGTCATTAATAATTATTCAGTCAATGAAGATATGAAGTTTTCAAATTACACTACTAACATGTAGTAACTTGTGAATGTGGCTTATCCATAGGATGTAATCCCTCAGCATTTGAGACTTTTGGAAATTACAATAGTAATATGAAGTAATTGTTGTAAAATTTGACTGTGCCATAGATTATTTTTCCATACAATATTGGATGTACTTGGAAATTACAGTAGTAATGTGAGGTACATGTAAAATGGGACTCATCCATAGAATATTTTTCCATACAACATTAGAATTACTTGGAAATTACAACAGTAACATGAAGTAATTGTTGTAAAATGTGACTCTGCCGTAGAATATTTTTCCATACAATATTGGAGGTACTTGGAAATTACAGTAGTAATGTTAGGTGCTTATTGAAAAATGTGACTCTTTCATAAGACATTTTCCTACAACATTTAAATTTTTTGTACATTACATTAAGAATGTCATGTAACTACATCATTAAAAAAAGACACTTCCAAAGATGTGTTTTTCTTTACAAAAACAGGGGTAATTTTTGAAAGTCCATTTGTGCTTGTGCCTGGAAATAATTTTTTTATGTCTTTACTAAGAACTTGAGTGTCGATTTATGGTTGTGTTAAATATACTTATGCTATACATGTTATTTAAGAACATGTTAGTAGTTTCAAAAGCATTCTTATGTGCAATTTGTTTGCTGTATCTGTATAGATAATTAGATAAAAATTAAGCCTTGTTTGATGGTCAGTTGACACATGGTGTATGTACACTATTGGTTGCCACAGTTAACATATTTACTTTATTTTTGTATTTGTACATATCATTGTTGGTTGGAAATCTAAAGTGGACACTGCTATACAATTTTAAAATATTTTTATTTGTTAAGAATTAAGATGCAGTATGATTTTGCTAATGGCTCAAAGTTTTTAATCTTTACAGTACATGTATGAAATAAATACAGGTTGAAACTCTGTGTTTTAATATTGTAAAGCATTGTCATTTACATTTTCTAATGCATTTTTCTTTTATCTATAGTTTATTAAAGAAGTGGTAGAAGTTTGTTTTAATTATTACAATTGTATATTATTAGCTGAACATCATTAGCACAGAAATTATACAAATCTCAAGTAATGTAGGTTATTTAATTATTAATAAACCTTAGCAAGTTTGGAAGGCAAATTCCTCACTTTATAGATTCTTCATTTTTTTATTGAAACTAATAACTGAGTTGCTATTGGAAACATGGAAAACCTTGGAATATTTTCACATTCCTCCATATATGGAGTGGTAAAAACAACTGACGAGGAAACCAGGGAGCTCATGCCTAAGCTCCGCCTTCTCTGCTAAAGCCACCTTTTTCTACCGTCAATTGGATGATGATCTGTCTGCTTATCATAACTCCAGTCTCTGATATACAGCAGCATATCAGAAGTCTGCTTATTTTTCTTATGTATACTGAAGGAGTTTTTGTTTTTTTCCTTTCAAAGTCCAGTGATCAGACTGCCACCAAAGAATGTCTTACCAGCAAGCTAGCCATCTCCCACTCAGTTTAGATTTTTCTAAGCCTGGTAGACCTTTTTATTTTCATTATCAGGAAGCTTTGTTGAGGTTGTACATGTGCGCATGTGAGAAGTGGAGAATGTCTGAAAGAGGTGACCTTGGGCTTTTGATAGTGGGCTAGTTTCAAGAGAGAAAAAGCTCCACACCTGTTTTTTTCACCTTAACCCTTTGCTGTCCTGTTTCACATTTATCATTAAGGTAGGCATTTTCTTTTACTCTCTTTCTCTGAATTAGATAGCACCAACTAAATCAAAATGGACGCTCACGTCCTAACCGTTTGGTAGAAGTGTTAGCACTTAATCGAGATCTGCATAACATATTTTTCTCAAAAAAAACTTGCATCTCAACTAATTCTATTTAGTATGTATCATTGTACGTATATTTCTGTAAGACGATTATTGTTTTGATATATTCCTTGTTAACATAATGGAAATAATGGAATTATTTTCTAACAACAACTAACTCGTACACAAGGTACGTACCCAAGGCAACTAAATGTGGTTTCTTCTAAATTTTTGGTTGTTTTGATTCACATTAAAGTGTCTTTTGTTCCTTCTTATAATATGTATATTTTCATAGTTTGGTTTGTTCCTTCATATAAAATGTATGTTTTCGTAGTGTTTTTACTCCTTCATATCAAATGTATATTTTCACAGTATGTTTTTGTTTCTTCATATAATATGCATATATTCATAGCTTGTTTTTGATTATATCATTAAATAGTAGTGTGATATAGAAAGTAATCATTTTAGTGCTTAATATTTTTATTGTGATCAAAATTAAGTTTTGGGAGAAACTGGAACCTGTAGAAGCAATTTTGCTAACAATTACAGGTTTATAGTAAATATAAAAAGTTCAAGATGTCGGCCTTGGCCACCTCCTTGGTTCCGTCTTGGTAGTTGTGTGGACCCTGTGGTAGAACCAGGTTTAGCTAGATACCGGCATAAGTTCTGATTGGCTGTTAGATGTTTGAACTCATCGCATTGTTCACAGTTCATGTAAAGTCTAAATTTGTATAGAGGAATAGCTTAGTTGTTTCAGAGGATGTTTGGAGAAGTAGTAACATTATTTGTTCTTTTTAAGAAGTCTGTTAATATTATCATTTTTCGATATCAGATTTTCATTGTCGTTACGGGACGTACAGCATGTGTTACGAAGAGATGCGATAATTTAAATGTTATCTTTCTTGCAAATATGAACCTTAACCTGTAGCATAGAGGTCTTTATCATTAAGGTAAGCATCTTTTTTCTGAACGTTTTTTCCAGTGACTGGAAATATTTGAACATAGAGATTTTTCTTTAGATTAAGACGTAGGTCCAGGAACTTCAGTTCTTGAGTTTTACTTGAATTAACATAATATTAACATTTATATATATTTGTTAATAATATATTTTTGTATGTTTTATATTTATATTGAATATTATATCTTATGTATAATGTATACATATATTTATCCTTGCATTTATTGGTGTTGCTTAATTTTTAGAATGTTCATTTAAAATCTACATGTACTATGTGTAATTGGAATGATTTTTTAAATACAGTATATGTACTATTGTCTTGTCCATATTTTTCCTGCCTGATAATGGCACGAACAGTTGTAGCCAAAATATCTTTGTTTTTGCAAAAATAAATAATTGTGATTTAAATGATGTATTACTTTTATTATAATTGTCACATTATTATTGTTTTCAAATCCCCTGTACATAGCAATTGAAATTGTATGATATGTGTAGATGGAGGTATTCATATTCATGGGTGTTTAGTCTGATAAACACCGTAACACTGATGATGAACACCTGTTCATGAGACAGTAATAGTGCTTGTGTTAACTATAAGCCATTTCCAGTAGCAGTAACTTTGGTTATCGCTACTGTCGCATTGCAGCAAAAACTCACATTAAATGAGATGTGTGACATCAAATAGCTCTCGACAAAAGTCTTTTCACCATTACTCCTTGCTGCATGAAGTGGGCACCTGCTGTTACTAGATGAACTGGGTAAAGCTACTCTATCTTTTTTTTTTATTCTCTTTGTATGATATTCCATGGTGTCTTTGTTGAGGTGTCAAATGATTCTAGAGTTTTCCTTTAAATTAGAGAATTATATGATCTGGGCTTTAAGTCAAGGTTCAGGTTTTAAAAGTTGATTCCTCATTTCTTATTTTTTATGGTTGCTGATGGGTAAATTGTATCTTGATTGTCAAATTGGCTGCTTTTGTTCCCATCTGATGTAACAAAGAAGTCATTGTCATTCATTTCTACATTGGAATGTAACTATTTTGTACTTGAACTGAATGTAATTTCACTTGCATTGCTTCTGTCTTTATTTGCATGTATTTATTGGTTATATATGACTTTTAACACTTTGTGTTTGATTTCTATGAGTTTTTTGTGACATCAGCATTGAGAAATTATAGTTCCCGTGTTTTAACTCTAAACAAGTTTCATACTATTTTATGTTCAGGGAAGAGGTTCAAATTTACTTTGTTCTTGGGTTACCTTATTGTTTCAAAATGTTGCATTACTCATCTGTATAGGATATCATTTAGTTTACATTCTGCATGTTTGAGTTTTAAGATGTTGTGAGTTATTTGGAACATGTTGATTTCTTCTGTAATGAAGTTTTAAGGTTTTACGTTATTTATTTGGATCATCAACTTGGTTTTCTTTTGTCACAGGATTTTAAAGTTTTGCATTATTTATTGGAGCAACAAGTTGAAATCTTAGGGTTTGAGGTCGTAGTTTATAAATTATTGGAATGTGAAGTTGACTTTCTACTTTTATCATAGGTTTTAAGATTTTTACTCTGTTCATCTGGAGCAAATAACAACAAGTTACAATCTTGTATCACATATTTTGAACGTTTGTAATCCTGTATATGAGTTTATTCATGCTATTGGAAAGTTAATCTTTGATTTTAGATATTTTTCTGTCTGCATGAATATCATTTTCTTGAAACAGTTCTTAGTATCCATGAACCTTGAAACAATTCATAGCAGCCAAGGATCTTCAGTTGTCAGCAGATTCACAAGGTATAACCAAGTAGATAAACAATTTCTTTATGAGCTTTTATCCCAGCATAACATGTACTTTGTACTGGGTTTTATGTCTAGTGAGTATCAGTTTAATGTTAGATGGTTATGAAACAACTTATAATATCCAAGGGCCTTCAGTTGTTGGCTGATTCACAAAATATAACTAAGTAGATAAGCATTTTCTCTATGATCTATCATCCCAGTTTAATGGGCGCTTGACACTGGGTTTTATGTCTAGTGAGTATCAGTTTAATGTTAGATGGTTATGAAACAACTTATAATATCCAAGGGCCTTCAGTTGTCGGGTGATTCACAAAATATAACCAAGTAGATAAGCATTTTCTCTATGATCTATCATCCCAGTTTAATGGGCACTTGACACTGGGTTTTATGTCTAGTGAGTATCAGTTTAATGTTAGATGGTTATGAAATCTATATGATTTGTTCAATAAATACTTCAAATTTGTGTGTGTGAATCCGGTCTTACTGTCATATTAATACATTATGAAATCTGTATGATTTGTTCGTTAAGTCCTTCAAATTTGTATGTGTGATCTGGTCTTACTGTCATATTAATACATTATGAAATCTGTATGATTTGTTCATTAAGTCCTTCAAATTTGTATGTGTGATCTGGTCTTACTGTCATATTAATACATTATGAAATCTGTATGATTTGATCAACAAATCCTTCATATTTATGTGTGAGATCCGGTCTTATTATCGTATTAACACCTTATGCACCTCCCTTTGTGTATGACATTTTAAGCCTTAGTGTGTTAAGTTCCTATTTTTGTCAAGTTATTCCTTTTTGGATTTAGTGGTTAAGTAGCACCTATCTGTTTTGTATTTAATTTGGATCATTTGATAAGTCTTTATCAGCTGGTTCATCACCATCTGTAGTAAGACAGCTTTCTAATCTTTATAAGTATATTTAATTAGGTATACTCATTTCCAGGTCGATTTTTATTTTGCTGTAAGTAGCTAACTTGTTCTAATGGAAGTTAATACCATCACGCCATTTTTCTTGCATTTTTTTCATATTTCAGCACACACACACACACACACACACACACACACACACACACACACATACACACACATATATATATATATATATATAT